CACGCATGCACACACACACACACATGCACACACACACACACTCACACATATTCATCCCTCCCAACTCTTTTCTTGCTCTTAGAATTTCCCACATTCTCTGACTCCAAGCCTGGGGGTGCAGGTCTAACATTGGTACCTAAGAGACACCATCTAATCTCAGGACTCTAAAATCCACATACCTGCCATGGAAGAGTTGAGTGTACACATCCCCTGTGGAGATGGGGCCTTAAGTAGACAACTGTTTACCTGCAGCTCTGCCGGGATGTCTGCTGCTCATCCTGCACTTCTCTGTCCTCTCTCCAGCTTATCCCTCCTCTCGAATGAAAGTAACTCCTGGCAGTGGCTGGGCCAACTCCCTTCTCCCCTCCACCCTCTTCTCTCCTCTTCTCTCGACTCTCTGAGGTATCTTCTATTCATTCTCCCAGAATTCTCTGAGCTTTCTGTAGAAATATGTTCTGAGCCCCCTGCTTCAGCTGCCACCCTCACCGGGGATGAGCACTGTGGTGATATTTTGTTTGTGATCTAACAAATAAAGATCAGAGTGTGGAGCTAAGCCACTAGTTATCCATAGAGGACAGGCAGTGGTGGCGCACACCTTTAATCCCAGCACTTGGGAGACAGAGGCAGACAGATCTCTGTGAGTTCAAAGCTCACCCCTTTGATCCCAGTCCTTGGGATCTTCTGCCTTTAATCCCATCAGTATTAGGTGGAGGTGGCTGATATGGCTGGGTGGAGAGAGGAATATAAACTGGGAGAAGACAGGAGCTCAGAGCATTCAGTCTGAGGATTCCTGGGGACAGGATCTCTAATTCAGTCTGGAGATTGCTGGGGACAGTATCATCCCTTTGGTCTGAGGATTCAATACAGGTAAGAACTAGTGGTTGGCTGCTCTGTTTCTCTGATCTTTCACCATTAACTTCTATATCTGACTCTGGTTTTTTTCAGACCTAGAAGAATTTGTGCTACGTCAAGCACATTTCCTTGAGATCCTTCCCTGGCTCTTGACTTTTTTAGCAACCAGTCTACCCTCAGTGGTCAGGGTGTTACATCATTGAAATGTGTAACTCACCATCTGGCTCCCTGCTGGAAATCCCCAGCAGCTTCCTAGCTCACCAGAGGTCATCACCACGGCTCTGATGACCAGCAGGCACAACCTGGTTCTGTAGCCTGCCCACTTTTCTCTTCTTTACCCTTTACTCCCGCCACTCCTTTATCTACACCTTCCCAGAGCAGGCCAGCCATGCAGCCATGCAAGGTTTGCACGTCCTCTTCTCTGCCTAGAATGTTCCCAGCTTTCATTTCCTCAAGGCCACCTTCTAATATAAAGTAACAAACAGCCATGTCTCTGTGTCCCACAAAGAACCATTTGGCTAGTTTTCCTGTGACCAAACCATTTTCTAAGTTAGCACCTACTCAACCCATTTATCTCACACGGTCTGTTCCCCTCAAAAGGAAGGCAGCTTGTTACCATCTTCAGTCTCCCTCAGCAGTTCTGTAGTTTTCTCATGCAGATCTTACCTGTTTTGTTTCATTCATCTCTAACAATTCAATGTGATGGATGTTTCACAGATACAAAAATGGATGATGTCTCAACGTCAAAACACAACCATGAGCTGCTAATATACAGGGATTTATTGGATTTGGGTATCTTGACTTTACATTCAGAAGTGTTGCTAAGTTTGGGTTGTGGCTTTAAAAAATAGATTCCTTAGAATTTTCTTCACAGTCATCTCCTGTACAGATAGATTCTTCTCTTCCTACGTGGTACTCAATCCCACTTTGCAGAAGTGCTGGCACTGTAAAGGAAGTGAGCATTGCTAGCTTTCTGGACTGTGAAGGCGAAGCAGTCAGCCTTTGTCCTTTTGTATGGTGGCTTATGAGTCTTTCTATAAGTGACATCATCTGCCTATTCATTAGTACCTTGCTCTGAGATTTTGTAATGAGTTTGTTTGGGGTTTTTATGATGCCTCTCATATATATATGAGGTGATTTTGTTGTTTTTTCTTTTTAGTCTGTCATTATGATAAATGATATTGTTTTATCTTTAGATGTGAAGTCAACCTTACATTCCCAGAATAAATTATATCCAGCCATGATGTATTATCTCCTGTGAGTGTTTCTGGGCTCAATATTTCCATGCTATGTTGAAGATTTCTGCATCCGTGAGATGAGGGAAATTGTTCTGTAGTAGTATATTGGCTGGATTTTCATCTCAAGGTGCCGCGGGCTACAGAATAGACTTAGGAAGTATTTCTTCATCCTCTGCTATTTGTTCTGTCTCTTTCCATTTTCTATTGCTATAACAAATGATCTAAGACAAATTTATAGAGAGTAATTGTTGGTTTGGTTCATAGTTCTGTAATCTGGGAGGTCCAAGAGAGAGACACAGGCATCTGGTGAGATTTGTCTGATTGCACTGTGACATTGAGATAAAAGCAAGGATACCAGCTCAGGTGTCTCTTCCTCTTGTTACAAAGCCACCTGTGCCACTGTAGGACTGAATCCCCAAAGCCTCATCTACTCCTGATTATTATAGAGTTCCACATCCTTATTCACTTAAGAATTTGGGAGCTAGTTTTCTGACACAGGAATTTGGGGGGATATATTCATACCATAGGATAACTTCACATTAAATTGATATCTCTGCCTTAAATGTTGGGAAGCCATTTGAGCCTTACATTTTCTAGATGTAGTTTCAGAACTGTTCATTTAATTCATGATAGCTATAAGGGGCTGTCTTAGTTACTTTTCCATTGCTGTGGTAAGACACCATAATCCAGGCAGCTTATCAAAGAAATCATTTATTTAGGGCTTACAGTTTCAGAGGGTTAGAGTTCAAAACCATTATGGCAGGGAGCATGACCACAGACAGGCATGCAAGGTTCTGGAGCAATAA